TGGCATTCTACTTGCAGCCAATGATTTGGGTTTGTTGCATAAAACTAAAATATTTCTTTCACAAAACTTTGAAATGAGGGATATGGGAGAAGCCTCCTATGTCATAGGCATAGAGATTCATAGAGACAGGACTCAAAGAAAATTAGACTAGTCTCATAAAGCCTACATTGAAAAGGTTTTGGAGAAATTCAGAATGAATGAATGCACACCTAATGCAGCTCCTGTCGTAAAAGGTGACAAATTCAGTTTAAGTCAGTGTCCGAAAAATACTTTGGAAATGGAACAAATAAATAGCATTCCCTATGCATCTGTTGTTGGCAGTTTGATGCATGCACAAGTTTTTGTAAGGCCTGACATTGCATTTGCGGTAGGGATGCTTGGAAGGTTGCAAAGCAATTTAGGAATGGAACATTGGAATACAGCTAAGAAAGTTTTGAGGTATTTACAAGGAACAAAGGATTGTATGCTGACTTATAAGCATGTAGACTATCTTGAAGTGATTGGATATTCTGACTCAAATTTTGCGGGTTGTTCGGATTCTAGAAAATTCACTTTGGGATATGTTTTCATGCTAGCAAGAAGTGTTATATCATGAAAAAGTGTCAAACAGACGATAGTTGCATCGTCCACTATGGAGTCAGAGTTTATAGCGTGCTTTGAAGCAACATCATAGGCGAAATGATTGAGAAATTTTATCACAGAGCTCCAGATTGTGGATTCTATATCCAAGCCATTAAGACTTTGCTGTGATAATTCGACTGCTGTTTTCTTTTCTAAAAATAATGAAAGTGGAAGTCGAACCAATCATATTAACATTAAGTATCTCATTGTCAAAAAAAGAGTCAAGGAACAAAAAGTATTTATTGAACATATTAGTACAGATCTGACGTTAGCAAATCTCATAACTAAAGGGCTCTTAATTAAGACGTATTTGAAACATGTAGAGAACATGAGATTAGTTGGTTCATTGTATGGTTGACTTCTTGGTTTGTAAATATTTGATCTAGATCAATGCAAACTTTAGCTATTTTGTGCACATAATGTATTGTTTGTGATATACTATTCATTGAGATTAGTATGTAGTTCATTGGGATTATAAGACCCGGAATGACTTGTAAGAAGTCATTTATAAGGAGTGATGCTACATAATGTTATGAGAAGATTCATGCATTATCTTTCTCAATAAAGTTTGGATAATTATTTAATTGTATGGCCATATTCAGTATCAAATGTTAGTTAGCCAAATTGTCTGATGTGTCATGTGTACCAAGTGGGAGAATGTTAGACTTTATGTCTAATTAATATTAGACTTTATTTTTGGACTTTATGTCTAATTAATATTGGACTCTATCTCTAATTAGAGACTTAAGATGGCCCACATGCTATGTTATCTTTTTAATAAATAAATATTATGTGTGTGTGTGTATATATCATATTTACTGAGTCAAATCCTTCTGGGTAACTGACGTTAAAGTAACTATCCACTACTCTCATCATCAGATGGAGTGACTATCATGAAACAGTTTAAAGCACTTGTAACTCCTTGATGGAAGGACGTTACTTGCAGTTTCTCTATTACATAAGGGTCCTTACCTATATATATTCTCACGCCCGTGATTTTCCATCAAGTCATATGTGCATTTAGATATCATATATGTAGACAAGAAACTCTTGTCTCATATATCTCCATATAGTACATATTTATGAGGTTGTTCTTAAGTGTTCTTTTTTAGCGTTGATGTCAAGACTGTGATACAAATTCGTGCTTGTTGGGGTCGTTGGGTTCATTGAATATTCTCTCCATAGAGAATTTGGATTTCTTGTACTCAAACTTGAACATTAATGGCAGGTGGTAAGTATTCAATTTCGCTATACAAAATAGGAAGATTAAATTCTTCAATAAATTCTTTCACTCCTCCGTTCGGTTAAAAGCAGACCATCTACGCCGAGATTAGAATATTCATGATGAATAAATCTCTTATGCTCTTATCTCGAATTGTCAAAATTCAAACTCAAGACATGTAAGTTTTTGAACTATCCCTTGAAGTTTCAAATGAAACTTTAGTTAGACTCATGTAGCAAAATATCTATTCCGGTAAAAATTATTTATCAACAAAAATAATTTTTAACCTTTTTTTTAGGGGGGCAAACATTAGAATTGTTCAAACTCATCCCATGTTTTTCTTTTTTTGTAGAAGTTCTTGGATGGTTTGGATTATACAACAAAGGCTAGTTCTCCCTCTTGCCCAAACTCCAACTTGTGCAATTGAATAATGCTGTGTATGCTAGAAGTTTTATAAAATTTTGTATATTAAATTAAATGCTGATGATAGTCATTATTCAATAACAAAAGTCAATGAAAGTCGCTAATCTAATTATCCATATTGATTTGTCAGTTAGGTCAATTGATATCTTCAACTTAAGCTTATTTTAAGAGAGAGAGAGAGAGAGAGAGAGCTAACAACTTCTATGTGTGGTGCCTATTCTGTGTCTAGTAAACCTTAATGCATGTTGGAACAATGCTTTCAATATCTTTCATTAAAACAAAGCAAAAAAAAAACTATAGAAAAGCACTGTAATTCCCTTACACAAACAATAAAGAAACGAGAAAAGGGCCCAACCGGGTTCGAACCGGTGACCTCTTGATCTGCAGTCAAATGCTCTACCACTGAGCTATGGACCCAACGCGTTGAAATTTGTCCACATTAAATTATATACCAAATAACCTAACATTATATAATTAATTGTAGCAATTTCGCGGGACTCTTTCCCCGCCCAATTCACCCACTCTCTCTGAGCACATTATGTGACAGTGTAAACATGGACCCTTATGCACCGTTTGATTGCGGGAAAAAGTCTGAAAATTGATTAAGATTCGAAATTTCGTTTTATTTTAGTAAGTTTTCTCTTCAATTAAACTAATGACAATTTTATTCAATTTTGCTATGTATATACAGAGAGTTTGCAAGTGTCTTCTCCGAAGAGGAACTTTTTCCTAAATTATTGGCTAGTTTGACGGGGGAGCTTGTTAAAGATATGAGTTGAAATGGTTTTTTTTTAATTGTACTTTCTGGTTGTTAAGTTTTTGTTTGAAGTTAGGATGAATCTGGATTGTTGATCTGTTGCTTTACAGTTTTGGATTTGGCAGTTCAAGGGGATTGTTGAAGGGTTGCTTCAACATGGTAGGCTTTCAATTAATCGAATCAGTGAATGCTGCACGGCGAGTTGCGCAACAACTGCTCCTTCTGATTATAATGAAAGAAAGAGTGAAATATGATTGGTTTCTTCTTGGTTATTATTGTTGTTTGTTCTTTTTCTTTGTTACTGGCTAAGCAAATTCAAGTTAGTTTTAAAATTTTTATATTTATCATAGCTTATTGGTATCCTTCCATTTGGATTCTGTTGTTGACAAATTTGAGTCCGGTAAATTCTGAATTAATGATTCATATGCATACAGATCGCTGAAGAATTAGAGACCATAAAGCAAACGTGCTTTAGCAGGAGCAGCAGCAGCAGGAGCTCCTATGGAATCAATGATATATTTTGTTGAAACAGACATCAGTACTCATGTTTCTGAAGAAAAGAGTGAGGAAATCTCTAATCCGAGAGTAAGAAAGGTTAGTGTAATAGTTTTTATTTAAAGTTAGCTGGTTCAACCGTGTGTTAATTTGCAAATTCTAATTTGAAATATCAATAGGACAGTGACAACTGAACCAGATTAAGATTAAGGCTATTTAAATGCTTGCCGTACATCATTATGAAATGTCTGTTGTCGGCTAAGATTTTGAAAGTACATAGTCTGTCTATGCAGGCTTGCATTGCAAATGTGAGAGCACAGTTTGATGATGGAGCTGCAGTTGTTTTTAAGTGCAATTCTGGGGCAAATAGAAGTATTCAGACTAAAGTAATAAACAGAAAATTCAGGTCATTCAGTTTCATATGATTTTTTGATTTTTCTAAACTTTATATCTTTTCATTTCATATACTCTGATTGCTTATAAGTTCTGTTTGCATGATTTGAAAATGAAAAAGGTGAAAAATACACGAATTGTCAGGGCAAACCTAAGAAATAAGCACAATTTCAATACAGTTGATTGTGTGGTGGGTTAAGGTCATTGATATTTGATAACATTCAGGATAGGTTTTGTAAGGGATAGAAGTAAGTCTTTATAAGTGGAGAAGATTAAGGTTACTCTTCGATATAACAGTGACAAGAGACTGTAGGCTAAGAACATATCTTTGTGGAACTTGTGGAAAGCAGCTATTTAAGGGTGTAACTGGATTAAATGTCAGGCAAGCGGTTGTAGGATACAGAAACTGGATTATAATTCAAAAAATGCAGTTGGTTGTGACTAAAGCAATAAACTTTTTTTTTTTTTGAAGGGAACAGAAAAGGAGAAGAACATAATATTTTAGGAACCACAGCTGGTTAGTCTTAAGACTTACACTTTAGGTTGGGATTTTGTCACATCCGCAGTTTAGATTCACTTATTAGAAGTTCTTTTTATGTACTTGTAGTGGACTGAAAGAGAGCATAGCCATTTAAAGGCCACTTCTTGTGTCTGAGTAAGAACTAGGACTCTTCAGATTATAACATTCAAAGTTTGTAATACTACTCTAATCCTGATTAGGAGTCCAAGTAAAAGTCTATTGACAAGTTTCACAAAAATACACACTAGTCTCTGGAATGGCCTAAGCTTAGGAAAGATAACGTTTCTTAACCATTCACACAATAAAGTTAGAAAACAAAAATGTTATACCAGCGGCACACAAACCTTGAAAAAAGTAAGTGGAACTAAAATTTCATTAAACAAGATCCTACATGGGGCATGAATGAAAACTATACCCATTTTTTCACCTCTGAAATGTAAATTTATTCACTTCAAAGAAGTTAAGAAAATTTGCAACAGTGGCTTGTATGGGATAATACAACCCAAGTGCTGCATTAGAGAGTGGGGGAGAGTGAGAAAGGACTATTCCTATACCTATGGAGGCTATCTCTAGGCTGGGAAGTTAACATGGTAAACCTCAGTCATATCAGGGTGATACAACCCAAAGTTCTGCTCAGTACCAGCAGGCTTGAGATCCTCGTTAAATAGTGCAAACAAAAAGGTTTCTACAGCCTTGCCCCGCCTTTTTGGCGTTCCCTGTCCAGATGACACATGAGCTATCACATTATTGACATACGTTTGAGCGTTATTTATGGTTGCCACGTCACCATTTTCGGCACTCGGCCATCCAGTCTCTGACACAACCACCTCAACCGCAGATCCATCCACCTTCTCTAGTGCAGCATACGTTGCATCAACCATGGCATCAAACAGGGTAGTATAGTGATTTGTTCCATCGTCCACACCATTAGCCGTACCCTGTAAAAGCGCATAATCCAATGGGACGTTGGTCGGATCGCCAATGTATGCAAAGTAAGGATACACATTGACAAGAAGAGGGCTTTTTTTGGCTGCCAGAAATGCTGCAATTGGCCTCATAGTCGTGTTGTCAGAAAATGCTCCGCTAGAGGGAGGATATGATGATCCCAGCACTTGTAAGGAAACTACAGTACTAACTGGTATGGCAATGTTGGCAGCTTGCAATGCAGCATCAAGGTTTTGCATGGCACCAAGCACATAAGTTGCTGAAGGCCCCGGAATGACTTCATTGCCAGCCGATATGTATGTGAACTTCACTGAAGAGGAGTGTGGGACAACATTGGTGCTAACCCAACTTTTTGCAAAGGATGGATCGGCCGCGAGCTGTTGCAGGTCTTCGTTCCGTACTCCAACGACAACTTCGACACCAGAACCTTCTAGAGCCTTTAGGACATTGGTATTGGGATCGAAAATTCGAATTTTCTGGACGTTTCTAGATTTTAAGAGAGCTATAACTTGACCTGGTGGTGGAAGATTATCCCCCAACAGCCCGTAGTTCACACCAATTCCTTGAACACCTACAAAAAATAAAAATCGAGTTAATCAACTAAAAACAGAAAAAATATTGAAATTATGAGCGAAGATTGCAAACTAACCTGCATGGGTACTAAGAAAACATGCAGTAAAAAACAACAGTAAACAGAGGCGGTCCATGGTGCACAACCAAAACAATAGGATAAGAAGGTAAATTGAACCGCTGAAGGCTTGTAGAACACAACTGACCATGAACTAATTTATAGAAGAGCAATTGCTAGACAATACTGAAATTACGAGCAATAAATGGGATGCAATAAATAGTAAGATACGGATTTTTTGTTGCATGCTTTGGGTCCATCCTTCTTGTTTCTGGTTAATGTTTTAGTTCTAAATTACTAATTTGTAAGCACGAGAAAATCTCAATTGTCAAGATTCTAAATAAATTTCAAACCAAAAATGTGCTCTAATTTTTGTTCTAACAGAGGGTTGGACCTGGACCCTGCAACTGTTCATTCCTGTGATACCTTGCAGGTTTGAGTTTGGAAATTAACCTCTTTAAAATAGGTTAAATTGTTTCTCTTCTACCTCTCTCAAGACTTGTTATTTCCCATGAACTAAACCAATTCAAGGGTTGTGTGGGCTGTCGTTAGATGGGCGCCCAGCCCGACCCACTGGCTGAATAAAATAGGAAAAAAATTAGTCACGTTATGATGAACCTGGATAATCTGGCAAAAGGCCATTAAGACTGACTTGATAAATAGCCCATTGTTGTAATTTTTTGGGATGAGCTTCTATGTTTTTTTTTTACGAATGCTACTTGGACCTGTCGGCTCTAACTCTGTACCATTAGTTACTGTGTGTGTCCTATGCCTTTGGACCCGTGAAGAAATAACAATACGAAAAACTTTCATGAGGAACACTTAGAAGATTAGATCAACCAATATGAGCTCAAAGTTTCTTTTGTATTTCTTCGAACTTCAGAATATCTCCTTTTCACGACTCATAGAAACCTTAAAGTTCGGATGAAACATGTTTTGCGCGAAGGAAAGAAATGTGCAGACTTTCTAGCTAATCTAGGCCAAAAACAATCTTAGAATATGGCTTTTCTCGAGAAGGCCCTTATGGCCTGTTTGGTACGTGGGTTTGGGG